GCCTTCTTGTCCGCATCTCTCCTTCTCTCTCTCTTTTTTTTTTCTCTTTTCTCTTTTTCTCCCACCCCACGCATCTCAGATTTCTCTTTTCTTCCCTCCTTCCATTTCCCCCCTCTCTTCCACCCCGTCCTTCGCTCCGTCCTGCTCTTCTAATCCACGTTGATTATCTCCGGGCTCAGCCCTGTCGTCTGTGTTGCTCCCGCCCCAATGTCGGCAGATGAGCAGAACACATCCCCATTGCTGCTGAGCGCGTGGCGTGTCATGTTCGCCGCTGCACATGCAAGCTGCTCTAACCGCACCAGTGTCTCCTCCTCCGACGGCTGCAGGGCTCGACCCGCCTTTAGCCAGCGCAAAACCGACCGCACCGTATCTTCACTGCGCTGCAGCGGCAAAAAGAACTGGCCCTCGTGGCCGTCAATCACACTCTGTGAAAAAGTGGAAGTTGCGTGTGGCGCAAACTCAACCAAAGAGCCCGCCGACTGACTGCTCTTCGCTGCGTGACCGCTTCGTGACAGAAGACTCTTCCACTCTTCCAAGCGATGGGCTAAAAAACCCTCACAATCACGCATACTGAAATCTGTGTCAGCAACATCACCTCCCTGCAGCAGAACCCTCAGCGCGGTCGTCACTGCCTCCGAAAGTCGAAGTTGGCCCAACGGCACAACCGCGTTGCGCTGTGCAAAGTTCCGGAGACACACGGCGGCGTGATATCGAAGCATCCCATCCACCCGAACTTCTTTTCCATCTTCGGTTAGAGCGAAGCTAATGTCCACAAGACGGCGTATGCACGCCAGAAAAGTCGGGTCTTCAGAGAGTACAAATCCCGTCACAGCAACAAGCTCTGCCGCCACAAAACGTGCGCACTCGCAAATAGCATAGGAGGTATTTAATTCCTCCGCAAGTTTTTGAAGAACTTTCGTAGCGATCAGAAGAACAGCCGTGATGCTTTTAGGCGAATTAGTCCGCTCCAGTATGTTATGCACCCTCTCCGGGACAGATGCAATAATGATGCAAATGCGTGATGCCATTTCGCTGTTGATCTTCAAAGAGGAGTAATCCTGCCATTCCGTGAGCACAGCCCGGAGTTGATCATGAATTGCTTTTGCCTCTTCCTCCGTACCGCCTAACACCTCCTCTTTTGGGATCGACCTCTCGTTCCACCACTGATAGACAGACGATTGGTGGTAAAGAACATTCACCAGAGTACAAAATGAGGTGGGGTTTAATGACGAGATACGTGTTGCTGTTGTTTCTGCAAACGACCCATAAAGTGATTTCGGTGGGCGCTGCAGCTGTCTGCAGATCTCCGTCAGAAGCACCGCCAGGGCGTTCAGAAGGCGTCGCAAGCATGTCGCCCTGTCGCGTGATTCCGCTGGAAGCTCACGGAGGGCGCGGAGCTGCTCTTCGCCAAGCTGTAGCAGCTCCACTCCAAGTCCCTCCCGGTCCGCGTTGGACAGTCGGCTCAGCACGGCCTCCCACACCAACAGCACACGCGCTGCACTGGTGTCATTTGGCACAAGGAGCGCTGTCATGAGTAAACTAAACACACGGCAACGCAGCAGCGAGCCACCGCCTGGCGACCCTTCCTTGTCGCACCACTCCCCGCCCCGTATGGCATCCACACTTCTACATGCAAGGCTTCGAAGAAGCAAAAGCAGCTGCGCGTTGAGATGCACCTCGCCTGAGGACTCGGCAGCCCCATCGTCGTCTTGTTCTGGAAAGAACACGGCGCGTGGAAGATTCCTTGCGTGTCGCACTATTCTATGGCACAGAACTATGTCAGGGTCCTTGTCACATGGCGCTGCTAGAACTGTTTTTACTGTTGTTTCTGCTGCTTCTGTCGTCTCCTCTTGTTCCGCCACATCCGAGAAGACAAGCTGCATATCGGGCAACCATAAGAGAAATGCGGCCAGTATTCTCTCCACATATGCCCGGTCGCAGACCTGGAAGGAGCGTGTTGCTGCTAACATTGCAGCCAATGCCGCTACTGAAGAGCCAGCGGCAACAGACGCCGTTGCCAACTCCGCCGTCGCAGCCGGAGGTGGGTCGGCAAGACATTGTAGAAGCAATCTCAAATGTTCACCCCCTGAAAGTGGTGACGACGCAGAAAACGAAGATCCCATCGCCTCCAAAATGGCCAGCAAGCGGACAACGATGCACTGGTGTAGCTGCTGCGCTGCCTCCTTATGACCACTCGTTGCAACCGTGAGGCAAACGATAGCGTGAAGCCCCACAATCGACTGAACCAACCTCTCGTCTCGAGCCGCAATAAAAGGATGCGCTCGCACCGCTGAAACAACATGAGAAGCAACAAAAGAAGCCAATTTTATCTTTTTCGCATCGGACCAGTCGTGAGAAAAGACATGGTGGTGTAGCTGGGAGAGCATGAACTGCAGGATCCCACTGTATACGGGTGGACTAATGGTATTGAGTGAGGAAACAGAAAGAAGCAGTTTCCAAGCTGCATTCATCAACGCCAGATTGTGCCCCGCCTCAATCAAACCACACAGACGCAACAACTCGGGAAGAGCATTCGCCTCATCTAACAGCACGGCATCCGCCTTCACTTCCCTCAACGCCGACATTTGTCCCGATGTCAATGCAGCCCGAAGTGCGTCAAGAGTAGCACTTGCCATCGTCTCCTGCGTCTGTGGCATTACTATTTCGACTCTCCTTCCTTAGGAACCCTACCCCGTCCCTCTCTCTCTCTTCTTTTTTCTTCTGCAGCTAAGCCCACCCACACGCGAAGACCCTCACGTGTCCGTGGCACACTCTCCCGCACCCTGTGTGCAAATGATCCAAGAAGCAGACAAAGAAAACAAAAAACAAAAAAAAACGACGATGACGCGTGGGGAGATGCAGTCATGAAAACACATGGCATCTGCAGAGGTGTTTGGTTTCAGTTTCCAACTCTACCCCCCCCCCTCAAATGGAAAAAAGCTACGGAACACTCTTAAGAGGGAAAAAAAAGGCCTTCACACGGTATCAGGGCAAACGCCGTGTTTTCTTCGCACGTTATTTCCTTACATGACCCAAACGATTCGTATAAAATTCCCACGGCAGGAAACACCCCCGTGCTCGTCTCCCCGTTGTGTTATTCTTCAATGGTCGCGGCACACGGTAAGGTCGCCCATTTTAGCCCCCGAGTGCCTGCGGGACAGTGCACATGGCTTTTTTGCTGCATTATCCGACTACCCTGAGGCACTAAATGTGAAAACGCCTCGACGCAAAAAAATGAAATCTCAAACCCCCCAACTCAGCCTTTTCACGTGGCGTTCCCCGAAACAGACGGACAGACACACACCAAGACAACAACAAAAAAAAGGGGACAGAGTTCTAAAATAAACGCAAAGCCGGAGAAGCGGCATGATGGTACACAGCACATCCACAGCGAAAGGCCGACTCATAGGAAACACAATTCCTCTTTTTTTTCTTTTTTTTTTTGTTTGTGTGTTAGAGAGCCAAAATTGTTTTTTAAAATCTATCGATCTAACCTTTCATCGTAGAAGGCAAAGATCCGCCAAAATCCATTGGACGCGTGAAAAGAAGAAAACACTCCAATGGAGGTGCGACAGACAAGATCTCCACTCTAAACCCTTCCGGGCCTTATCTTTGCTTTAAAAAAGACGTCCTTGCGTGTTCCCCATCAGCTTAAATTTCGGCACGCATACTGACATTAGGCATCTCTCTTTTTCTTTTTTTTTTTTTTTTCTCTCTCTCTTTCTCTCTTCTTCTTCTTCTTCTTTGGCTCTTCTACACTGAAACAAAGTGAAAACTCTATGGCTAAGTGCATCCATTCATTCATACGTACATACATAGATACCTGCGGTGAAAATTTGTGCCTCTATCTCTATCGATGTTGAATTTGAAGCGTCATGGGTGGAGCAGGGGGTACCCGCACCGGTGTGGCCTTGACCGCCTTTTCAATTCCTGGTGAGTCACCAACATCATTGTTGATGGAAAGACTCTGGGAAGGGACCTCAACATCTCCACTTTCATTTGTCCTTTCCATCCCAACCTCCTGTGCGAAAACCTCCCTTGCAACCCTTGTCGCATCGACGTGTTCGATCCACTGCAGCACGTGCTGTACCCGGGCATTCAACTGTACATTGCGTTCCTCCAGCCTCGAGATTGACTCACGGTGCTCCAATGCCAGCGCCTGCAAGGCAGCCTCCAGCTCTTCACAACGTGCTTCGGCTCGCACAGCCCTTTGTTGCACATCTCGTAGTGATCCCTCCAAAAACTCCAGGCGGGGCTGAAAGGCCACTTCATCATTCCCCGTTTTCAAACCTCCCGTCCCGCCCGACACCGTCCGTGATGACATCCCCACCCCAACAGAGGACGCCCTTCTCGCAAATGTCGGCACTTGATGGGAGGGCTGAGACTGGATCACTGGAGTAAACTTCTGGTGATTCTTGTCCCTTTCCGCCGTCAGTTTACACCTTGAGCTGTTCTTAAGTTTCATACCCTCCATCCACGGCCGGCTGCGATTTTCAACACTTGCATCGCGCGTCACTCGCCGAGGCTCCGTTCGCGGAGCACTTACGGTGGGTTTCACGCGGGGCGTTGGACGGTTTTGATTCCAAGCAGGGCGTGCCGGCGATTCGCCCCGCGGTGTTCTCTTCATCGGGCTCGATCGTGCCGTATGCACTCGATCCGGCGAAGCACTTCGCCGTTGGCAGCCTTCACATGGCGTTCGTTGCTGCGAAGGCGTTATCTGGCGGGGTGGAGGCGAATCGTCCGTCAACTCTCCCATTGCGGCAACCGCGGCGGTACTAGTCGCACGGACACTGCGCAAGAGCTCTTCAATTTTTACAGTGTTTGTGGGGCTTTCCAATTCTCGTAGCTGAGCTGTCTGGGGACGATATTGCTGGTCCGTGCCCACCTGTGCTGGCCGATAGTGATCGCTCAGTGTGCTCGCCTGCATTTGCCGTTCATTTGGATTACTCCGAAACATGCGGGTTCCAGTAAACAACAACGACGACGACGACGTTGATGGCTCCAGCGTTGGTACTCGGACAGCGGGGGCTTGGGCCACACGCGGAGCGACACCCTGAGCAAGCATCGTGGCCTCTCTTGTTGTGTAGGATCGTTTCTCTGCGGTCTCTCAGTGTTTATCGTCTTTTTTCCTTCCCTCTTTCTCCCTTATTTTTACTGCAGTCACACAACCCCCCACGCACCCCTCTTCCTCTTGGAATAAAGTGTAGCCTCCACCAAAAAAAAAAAAAAAAAAAAAAAAAAAGAGGGGGTACACACAGCAA